GGTGTGAGCCCCGTCCCGGCCACGGGCGGCCGCGGGGGAGGAAGCGGCGCCGACAACCAACCTCCTCTCGTACCGCCGCTCCGGGCCGGCGGCGCTCTCGGCACAGCCGCCACACGCACCGGTACCGGCGCCTCTCAATTCTGCGTCCAGGATCAAGCCGGGAAAAAACAATTTCTTGACTCGCACTAACACACCTTCCGCTGACAAGTCCGTCCTGACCCGCGGAGCTGAGACGGTCACCACGGCAAGTGAGAGCAAAGCCAGATAATCCCTCGGGTCCGATTCCATCCTTTATTGAGCACAGAAGCTGCCCAAGGCGTACACGCAGATTAGGTATCGATCACCCGCTTGGATTCCAGTTCCCCCTTATCAATGTCACAAAGTTCTAAAGTAACCATACCTGAGCAGGATTACAGAAGTACAGCCAACAGAACTGTCTATCAAGTCATGCTTGACAGAGGAACTTTTAAAGTTACAAAGAACAAACAGTTCAAGGATCTCAGGATACTCCGTTACTAAAACAAATAAAGGGTAAAAAAGATGATTAGAAAAATTGCTACCCAGTAAATACGAAAACCATCTGTTCAGTCTGGTGACGCTCTCAGACTCCAGCAGCTCAAACAGTAAAGTCCCGAATCCGCCACTAGTAAATTGGCTGAAGGAGAAAAGCACTTCGTAACCTTCGTCAATGAGTTGCTTTGAATCAGTCAATGATATTCCACCACACATCAGGAAATGGATTTTGGCAACTTACTTTTCCACACCGTGTTTCGCTCCTTTGTGTCACCTTCCAGACGTACGCAGAGATCAGGCCTGCGAATACTTGCATGTTCCTTTGACAATTTGTGAATAAACATGAAGTTATTCTTCGCACTCACTACTTCTGTACTCTTCTCAAGGCACAATTAATAAAAGGAGGCGCAGAAGCTATATTTAGAGAGCTTAAAAGTTATGATTACAATCTGTAAATTCATTTGACATCGATACCAACAGAGCTTAAAATTGATTAAAATGCAACTCTGAAAACTGCAAGCCAGATTTTAACCTCGTTGGGAAGAAGGAAGCTCCCTCGACGACCCCACGGTAGATGACTCCAGCGTACACGCGTGTGCATTCACTTTAGAAACGGAACTGCCTTTGTCAAAGACGGCTCTTGAGAGGTCTCACTTTCATTGTAATTGATTTACATTAAACATGTAAAATGCAGTTGAGGCTACAGAAAACATTACCATAATTGGGTTTTATAGACATTTGCACACACACTTTTAGTTACGCATTTGTGCCAATTTCAGTAACTCATTCTGCACAGTGCCGGGCCCACACTCGTACGAAGACACCCTGAAAGGTAAATGTCCAAAAGACATTTTATTCTTTTTATGTTTATGAACGTGATTAACCCATGGACCTGTAGCATTTCGCTCCCAACAATACGGTGACAGAGGGTGTGCTCGCCAGCCGTGTCACCGGGCTCCTGCCCTGACAGAACTGCGCGTCAGGATGAGAAGACCCAACGAGTGAACTGCCCGTTCCCCTGCAGTCTTACGCCGAAGGAGAATCTAACGAGCAGAGTAAGACAAATTGGCAGTGAATTAATGGCAACTACTTCAGCAACAGCCGGCCATGAGGCAGTAACGACACCACCATCACCGAACCACGTTAAGGTTTAGCCCGTCACCGTACGGAGACGTTTCAGAAGAGGTGTGAGGCGCAGACACACGACTCCCAAACAACATCTGTGCCGCCCTGGGAAGAGAGCACGTGCTCAGGCGGCTTATCGGTTCAGTTCTTGCCAGGTCCTGAGGCCTGGATTATATCGTTCCATTTGTCCGATCTTTAAAAAGGTCTTACTCATAAAACATGAACATTTTCAGCCATATTCTGCAACACCGCGGCACGCTGGATGCTTTGCATTAGGGCTACAGAAAACAATGAAAGCGTTTGTGCTGAAAAAAATGACACAAACTTTGCAAATGAAGTAAAAGCCATCCTTGCCTGGATGCCTTTCGACCTCCCAATAAAGTGCAACTCAATTGCTTGGTTTGATTTAATCAGCAAGTTTTGCCTTTATCCAGGATCAAGCTTAAAGCCTAAATGAATATTTTGTCTAAGAATTCATATATATGCACATATATATGCATATATGTGTGTGCATGCATGTGAGAGTAAAAATCAAAACCTCGCCCAAAACAAGATGTTATAAACTCTTTTTACTTCTTTTCTCTTAGACAGTACTTGATCAAGGTTGTAACAACTCGTTCTTTAATAAAGGTGGGAGATCAGACAGGAAATAAAGATGACGCCACTGCTTTTTCAAATGTCACATTTAATGTTTTCACCACTGTACTTCAAATCTACATTTTACAAAGTGACCAGCAAGTGTGCCACATTAACTGACCAACCTCTGAGATTTTACCTTTCATACCAGTGTCTTCTTGGGCTCTTTTAATTAAACACGTTTCTCATTCAAGTGAATTGAAAAGCTTCAGTTGGTTTTATTCTCAGGAGCCTCATAAAAAACAAAGATATTGCACCATCTTTGTTCAGTTATTCAATGTTTGTCTCTTTCACAGCAAATAATTACTTCATTGAAGTTAAAACTTCCAAACATAACTTACTAATAGTCTCCAATTTCAGCTCAGATCACTCTTGTTGAAAATACTCTGCTAAATACAGATAACTTACAATAACTTTAACAGTTAATTGTCCATAACAAACACCACGGTTTTTCTCCAGACCAATGCTCAAATTTTAAGACCACCCTTTAGTATTTCTTTGTACAGGTGAAAAACAGTCTTCAATTTTCTAGTCTTGTTTTAAATATAAAAGTTGGAAGGGACATTCAAGTTTCAAGTCTCCACACTGAACTTAAAAAAAAAAAAAATCATGTGGAGGTAAACAAACCAAGTTGTATACTCCAGGAGGTAGAGGCCTTCAATTTGTGTTCATATATACATATGCACAGAATTCAGTGTTCCAACAGAAAAAGAATTAGCCAAAAAGTAATAAAAGTTATTTACTACTGTGACATTTCAAGACTTCCACAGCTTCGCCTAAAGACACGAACACAATTAACATAATTCCCTATGTGCTTTTTTTTTCCTTTTCTCTTTTTTTTCTCTCAACTGTCCAGTGCAGGAAAAAGTTCTCACAAAATTTCACAGACCTAAAATGTGCAAGCTAGTTTCTCTCTATACAGCAATGATGTCAGGGATCTCTGAAATTAGCCCATAAATGGAATTATTTACACACATAGAAGATGCATGCTGGGGGGTTTTATGTAAGAAAGAGCAGAAAAACTTCTAATAAAAATAGATTAAATATATATATATATTTATACTGGGTAAGGAAACAGAAGTTTAGTCTCTCCTAGTCACAAACTCATTCTCTCTACTCACAACATTTGATTTTAGAACAGCACACATCACCATCACAGCTCTAGTGAGAAGCTATTTATAGGATTTGATCGTCAGGGACACGTCCACTCACTGTGGCCACTGCCACCTGACGTGACTTCAGGATTGGTCGCAGTCAAGTTTTCTGTATTCCTTTGTTTTAGAAAACCCCAAATCTTCAGGAATGGCTCAATATCAAAATGTATGTCTATCTTTTTGTACAATCTCACTTCAATAAAAAAAAAAAAGAAAAAAAGAAAAAAGAAAAAACCTCCCCAAATTTGGTTCAATTCTGTTTGTTCTGAGCTGAGCCATCACAGCTGCACTAGAATTCATAAAACACGTGCAACTCTGGGTAAAATATTTTCTTCTAAAAGCACAACCACTTTACAAGATTAAAAGTCTAGTACGTTTCTAAATATTATTCATATTGTACAAGTAGTGGTTGTTAATTTAAAACTTCATTAGTAAAATTACAGTACAAGCATGATTAACCTCCAGAATTGCAAATCCCAGACTCCAGTGGAAAGCTACATTACATCTTCAGTAGTATATTATCTTCCACTTCATTCCCAAACCAGTGGAGATGGCGGCATCTCAGATGGTTGAGCAACCGTGGAACTAGAATGCAGGCGAGACAGAAAATCAGTGTTCATTTGCAATAGCTAATAGACGAGAAAGTTAATGCTCCACCAGTCAGCAAACATTTCAAGGAAAACAACCCCCCCCCAAACCCAACCAAAACCCCCGACACCAACAGGTTACACCACTGACAACACGTATTTCGCTATACTTCAATACTTATTTTCTTAAGGATTCTTCATCTGCCATTAATTTTAATTTTTTTACAGTGCAATTCTACCAGGATTCAACTTGTCAATCTTTCGGCTCTAATTTTTAGTCTGACTTCTGTACTATTATGCAAAAATATTACTTGAAACTTTTGTGCATTTTAGTTAAATTCTAGAAAAATCCATAAAAGTATTTTTAAAATGTAACCATATGTGTCCTGAAGGTATTTTTTTGCAGCAGTTATCTAAAGGCCTTTCCTACTCTCAGAAACTTAAAACATATAAACATTTTGGATGTGTGAATTCTGTACTACTAAGAAATGT